GGGGGGGGGGGGGGCAGAGCGCCGGGGGCCCCCAGGCACAAAAGGCCCCGACATTTAAAAATATATATAATATAAACTATAACACCATATTTTCATTCGGGGGCCCCGACAGTTTTAAACAATAAAAGCTGGGTTCTGATGTTTGACATTTGTTTCTGATTTTGTGGTCAATCTGCTTTGCATTGTATATACGTTCTTAATAAACATGAACATGAACATAAACATGATTTGTTTTTTCAGTATATTCTTTGTATTTATTACATAGAGTATATAGGCCTACTGTAGGCCTATACCAGTTCCGAAAGTTGGCCTATGTAATCTATGTTGGTTTTGTCATAAACTTGTCTGAAATATTTCATCAGTCATTGACCATTCTATGTTCTCTGACAACGAAGCTCATAAATGCCATAAGCCCCTTAGACCCCTCAGGCCCCTCAGACCCTGACCGGGGCCCTACGCGGCCCCTGGCCCCAGAGTCTGTTTGCTCGCTCCGCTCGCAAGCTTAACTCTTTCTTCTCTCGCTTTTTAGGGCCCCAAATAACAGTCACCGCCAGGGCCCCACAAACTCCGTATGTGGGCCCCTCCTTTTCAATCTTTTTTTTTAGTTAATGATCTTTCCTCTATCCATGAGCTCTGTCATTGACATGCTGGCTGACGACACTATCTTTTATGTTAAGGGAATATCACTCGATGAAGTTGATACTAAACTTTCACACGACTTAGAAATAATCACGCAATGGCTTAATTCTAATAAATTAATCCTTAATAGTAAAATAATTTAGGCTTTGTTTTCGCCAGAAAAAAAAAAGTGAATAATCTAATGACTTAGCTGGGTTTCATCACTCCATATCTTGTCCCGAAGTCATATAATAGTTACTTAAAGTTAATTTGACCTCCATCCACATACATAATTTCCCCATTCTCATATCCATTTTTCTTAAAGCCTACTGTTATTTTGTTTAAATTAAAATATATATTGTTATTTACGACGTCATTATATTGCTGTATTAGTTTTATCATTACTACGCATATACTACCGTATTAAAGTATTTATATTGTCTACTGTTATTTTTTTAAAATTAAAATATATACCGTATTATTGTTTACGACGTCATTATATTGCTGTATTAGTTTTATCATTACTACGCATATACCGTATTAAAGTAACCTATATTGTCTACAACATTTGTGTAGAAAAGTTATATAATACAGACAAAACAAGCTAGCGCATACTGCCTTTGTAATACATTTAAATATTTATAATAAATAACAATTATTCTGTATTTTCTCCTTTGAAGATAATTATTTTAGCAAGATAGTCAGTGAAATATGAAGTGTTGCCAACATCGCTTTGACGTTCGGTAAACACCTCCATTACGTCTTTAAGCTCGCGTGGTGCAGCTCTCCTAAAATCAACGATATTTGTCATAAAATCGAGAAGTTCATTTCCCTCTATCGATGATTCATCAAAACAGTTGCTGACGTCAAGAGCAATACTCATACAATCGAACGTGCATGAAAAGTTGTGAGTTTGAAAGTACCGAAAGATGTCATTTCCAGTTAGTTGGTCTGTTCCTCTATTCAAGAACGTTTGCACTTTACTGTACACCTTCCCTACGTCTCCTTTTTCTGTAAAATTATTTAAATTATAAAATCCTTTTTTAATTGAGTATTGAATAGACTTATACAACAGTGTCTAAATTTGCATTCAATGGCTTCTGAATTTTTTGTTTTATTTCTTTCTTTTATTGTCATTGTGTATCATTATAATCAACATCTTTATTAGGTCTTATCAATATTAGGTCTTATCAAAGATGATAATGATTGCAATTACACATCTGAAATTGAATGTTTTGTCAGATATTGTAAGGATAATCTTCTTAAGCTTAACGTTTCCAAGACCAAAGAAATGGTTGTTGACTTCCGTATAAAATATAAAAATGAAACTAGAAATATCGTAATTGATAATAATCCAGTGGCTGTCTCTTATACACATCTAGATGTGTATAAGAGACAGATATATATATATAGCAGAGGCTACTTAGCTTCTTTCCAATGAAAAATAATAAACATAATGACAATGATTATTTTATCGAATGGATAACGATGATGTTTATCAATTTTTGTAATGTTTCACGATTTATCACTTACAGGCATACTGCTATACAAATGTATTTGACTTTAAACTAATGTTTTCGGATGGTTCAGAGGTTATTTGAAAAATAGAAAACAATTATTGCAATACCACAAATAAAAAAATCGATACCACAAGAGAGTGTACCTGCAATAATATTTATACTAATGATAAAAATTTGGAGATAATTTATACTATAGTTAATAATTAATGTATCAGAAATAGCCTGTTCTATTGGTAGTCCTAAGTTTTGGGTTTATTTTTTTATTTTTTTGTGTGTAACCGTATCATATTTTGGAAAGGACAATTGTACATAAATATTTATAATAATATAATAATTTTGATTTAAATAATAATAATAATATTAAATATTTAAAATTTTTATCCTATCAATTTTTTTATTTCTGACAATTGTACATGATTAATTATTATAATTTTTCTGTCTGTCTGTGATGTTTGTGTTTGTCCTTCTGTGAGCATAACTCAAAAACTACTGAACCGTTTTACGTCTTTCACGTTCCCGATTTTGTTGCTCATCAGAAGTAGGATGTAGATTTTAGAACGTTATTTATTTTATAGTTTTGTCGCAACTGACCGAGCCAACTCGAGCGGATCGTTCGATTGAGTCATTTGGCTAGGCCGGGTTGACTCGAGCGGATTGATTACATACCGACTCGTTCGGTGTTGTTGTATTGTAGCGGTATAACATTACTAAGTATGTTGATCAGGTGAAATGTAGCCGAGCGGTAAAGATGCACGTTTTGTGTGTAGAGAAAATAAAGATAATCGAAAGTATGAGGTTCGAGGCTCACTCTTGCTTGTTTTTTTTAAATTTATTTTTTAAAATTTTTATTATTTGTGCATATAGGCCTATATTTAAAGTTAACTAAATTGTGAAAAATAATGAAATAATAATGATAATTTTGAATGCTCCAGTTAACTTTAAAAAATAACAATAATAATAATGACAATAATAACATAATCGAACGTATGGGGTTAAAATCTTACTCTTTTTATTATTATTATTATTAATAAAAAGAGGAAAACTAATCACATTGTTGGTGGACTTGCAGGACTGACCAAGGATTGAACATCCAGGGGAAGTTTATTCTAGAGCTGGAGCAAAGTATTCAAACGACCTGAAACCGTCAAATCGTTTGAGTGAAGGGTGAGGTGTCAGCTAAATGTTGATCGGCGTTCTATGCAGTACAGTGGCGTAGAAAAGTCGTTTTCATTGGTGGGGTTGGGGGGGGGGTGGATTGAAAATTCTTGGAATTGACATAAAATTACTGATGTCGTACACACCCTTCAGTGTGAAAATGTGGCTTGCTTTGCAAGTACATCTAACATCTAAGGAAAGAAGAGCTTAGATTGGTACCAGATAAAATAATTTTGTTATCAACATTAATCGTTATGCTAATTTTCATTTTCATATGCACACAAGAAAATTAGATAGATGAGGTTTTCTTAACATTATTCTTGAAAATTATGAAATAGATCGTAAATTTGAATCTTAAAAAATATCTCTTTTCGGGGTTATCTCACATGTTTTATTGTATTGTTTAAAACTTTGAATTGATCTATACTTGATCATTCTATAACCGTTTTAATGAGGGGGCGCTATATAAATCGACGCTTCCGCATTCTACGAAGACTTGTAGGGGAAAATTTTTTGAAACATGATTTAACGATACGAAAGCCTTAACGCCCTTCTTAATTGTGTGTGGGCACCTGAGAGCCTCCATATAATTTTAAATAGGTGGGTCAATCAAGCGGAAATTTGACGCGTCCATCCTGCCCTGCACAAAAAGTAGGTACCTGTAATGGCATTACCTTTAAAAGTAGGGCACTTTGTGCAGATTTCGACTGCTGATCGCAATGGTTAGTGATTGTTTGTATAATGTAATCTATTATCTTTAATTGCATTCATGTTAGCGCTGAAACACTACTCGATTGCCAACAAAGTAGTCTGTACAAGAAACACTAGGCCTACTACTAGGCGGTAGGCCTAGGCCTACAGTACAGCATTTCACTGCTGGCCAGACAGCAGTGTCACTCATCTGTCAGTGTCAGTGAGCTGTTGTCGAATGATTAATGTTAAGAACAAACATAACAGCAGAGTAGGCCTACTTAGGCCTCTAATATTATATAGGCCAGTTCAAGGGTGCCATTGAGGCCCCGTACTGTAAATAGACACATTCACTTCTACTACTTCTATGATGATACTCTGCGTAGGCCCTAGTCCAATCCAAGGTTTGGATGCTCCGCAGAGGTAGAAAATGACCTGCATATATTCTCCTGGTACACAATTCTGATTATGATAACGAACCGTAATCCGGCCGCATTTTAAGGTGGTCCATATGTAGTCGATATTTTACAGTAACTGTCTCTTATACACATCTAGATGTGTATAAGAGACAGCTAGATACCAGTCATGTGATCGTAACTAACAGCTAACACATCATTTACCAATAATTTTATTGAACTTATCAATCTTCTAACATCACTAAAATCAATTAAATATTTGTTATAAAAACTAATTCCTATGTATCTACTAAACATAAAATATCAATTCAAGTAACATATTTAACGATATTTGTCGTTTTAGAGGCTGAAATTCTATCACGGTCTAGGCCTACCTAGAATTATGGTATACATGACGTCGCGATCATTAGACGCCATTTTACACAAGCGATCGTAAATCATAGCAGATTTGCCAGCTTACAAAAACCACTTGGTTGTCGTCAGAATTTTTTCATATTTGGTCAAAATGTTAATTAATTATTTCTCTAAATTACTATTATAATAATTAGAAAAACCATGTACCGTTTTGACAGCAAAAGTTGATTTTATTCGAGTAGTAACTTCGGACGTCAACTGCAGCGGAAATAAACAATGAATGAACACAAAACAAATGCGTGACTGTTCTTTAACCTTTTGTCTGCCTAAAAATGCATGACATAATCGATTTTTAATCAGAAACGTAATTTTCACGATTTTTTTAAAACCCAACACCGTGAGCCGGAAGTTCAAGGTCGCCGCGAACGTCTAACCAAAACAATCAAGTGTGACGTCACGCTTTGTAACGTACCTACACTAGTACTAGTGCTAGTATTATGTGGCCAGGGAGGAATTAGCAAGCTTTTGTTTTCAATTATGTGAGAGCAGCAACAAGAAATCACCTCACTGTGAACATAATATGTCAGATATTCACAAACTGCTAATTACTTCCTTCTTGGGTAGATGCCCCCATCTTTTAACTATGCAACTATATTCCACATTTCCATTATTTACACCTATCCACTATCCACCTCTATTTATTAAGTATAAGATTTCATATCTATATATTTGATTAATTTCCGACAGGGTACAGTGAGGAAAAACAACCATATCCACGAAGCGGGCATTGTAGTGTTGCAAATAATGGACATCTTGTAGTCTACGGTGGCTATCATCCTGAATATCGATGTTCATTTGAAGAAGATGATGAAGAAAACATTTCACCAGAGTATATTTTTAATAAAGTCTTTAAAGAGGTATATTATTAGTACTATAGACTATCACAACCAATCTTTCGACAAGGCTTATCATAACAGGCCCTCATTGCTACATGATAATTTTATACTAAATCTTTTTTGAAGACTTGGGAAGTAAAGTTTTTCTTTGGTTATGAGAAAAATGCAGAAGATTTTTGTGCATTCAAGGAGTAAATCTCATTGAAATTATACTCTGTTTGGTAATCTTATGGCTTTACTACATTGGTGATTACACTTTTGAGCTCAAATCAACTTGTGTATTTGCTCTGTAACAAATTCTCCTGCAAGTACCCTTTAGGTTAGGGAATGTATACTGTAGGAAATTATATTCAATAATTTCATGCACTGCATCAATATTAGTACACTATACCTTTAAACCAGCAGATGCACTGACTATGTTTAAAAAATGTTAATTCAAATAATGATGAGGCCATCATATTATGACATTAAACAGTAGGAGAAATGACAACACAAATAATTATAATAATGGACTTATTATTAAGCCCTTTATGTGCTTGACATTATCATTACCACGGTCATTGGATTAAATGCCTATGGAACACAAACTCAAGCTCCCTGGGGGAGTATTCCATAACGTTGCAGCAGGTACATCAGCACATTTTGGCATTTAACCCCACCAGGTACCCACATATACTTCTGGGTGGAAAGGAGCAATGCAGATAAAGTTCATTGCCCAAGGACACAAGTGGAATGCACAGCGAGGGATTGAAACCCCAATCTCGAGGTTGGGAAACCAAAGACAAACCACTTCCACAAATGAGGTGTAATTGGATTATGCATTCAGGGGTAGGGGCATCACTCTGCTAAGGTTCTAGCCTAGGTTCCAGACCCTAATTTTGGGTTACTTTTTATTGCGGTTATTACATGCCATACCTAATTTATTTGGTGCCCCATACTTGATATAATAATATAATATATTATTTCATTTCAGCTTTGGTCATTTAATTTAACAACTTGTGAGTGGCATGAAGTTAGTACAAGTGGTCATCCCCCAGCTGAAACTGCATCCATGTCTAGTAAGCAATTTTTTCTATTCAAAGTTTTGAAACTCTCTAAACCATCTATTACCAAAGTATTTATCTTAAGGACAAGTTTATTGATTTTATATAATTTGAGGACTGGTCTAGCATGCTCAGTTACAAACTAGGCCATTTCTAAAACTATGAATCACTTGCATGTTCGTTATGTAGACGCTCTAAACTAAATTTTTGGTGACGTGCCAATGGCACCCTTGAACTGGTCTATATAGTATTATTAGGGGCCTAGGTAGGTCTTGTTTGATATCATTTTTGTTCTTTTATATTTTATACAAATGTAGTAATACAAAGAACTCATCTAGAATCGTCCTAATCCTATGAATTACAATTGCCTATCACTAGCTTAGATGAAGCGATTTACTTGGCACGTCATCACAAATTTAGTTTAGAGCGTCTACGTAACAAACGCGAATGAAATTCGTAATTTCAAAAGTAACCTAGTATGTAACTGAGTATGCTAGATCAGTCCTCAAATTATATAAAATCTGTAAACTGTCCTTTAAAGGGCATTATAAATTCCATTCTCCCTCATTATTGCTCCTCTATATACTCTAAATATTTCATCCAACCCTCTAAGTGTTGTTTTTCCCAAAGACCAAATAAAACCAATCTGTAAACTAATGAGAGAATAGGCGCGTTCAGACGAGTTAAGCCCCTCGCCCCCTATATATATTTTAGCATACGAGTTAAAAGAGTTTGCCGAGTTAGCAATTTGGGAATTCGGGAAGCTTGTGAAGAACTCATACCTACACATAGCAGCTCTGAACTCGTGGCACTAATTTTGAACATGTTCAAAATTAGTGCTACGAGTTGAGAACTCATACTAAACTCAAAGGACTCGTTGGTAACTTGTAGAGTACGCAGGGTACTCCTACGTAATTTGTACACTACTCTCAATGCTCGTTGTCAGTTTTGTGATCCATGAGTTTGATGCAAGCACCCCGAAACGAGTACGAGTTAAGTACAATTGCACCGAATTGGTTACAATCACGAGGAACATTTGATCGGAATGCTCGTACCTAACTCTATCTAATTCCGTACAAACTCATTATGCTCATAATAATCTCGTAAAGCTCGTAGTAAACTCGGTGCTTCGCTCGGCATATTTCGTACATTACTCCTAACCAACTCTGTAAGGTCATAGCTCACTCGTAGCTAACACATAGTAAGCATGTATAGAGGTCCTTTCCCAAGCAAATTAAATCACAAGTTTTTAACTCGTAGAACTCGTGAGACCTTGGATGAAATCAACCTAGGTGGGAGAGGGGCTTTAGAAGTAAGCTTTAACGTAGCAGTTTACTTGCCGTAAGCCCTGGGTAGTGCCTGTGAAGACGCTCTTTTTATTAAGCTACTTCAACCCTACTACAGGCGATTTACTCCTGAGCAGTCTCAGGAGTAAGTGTGCTACTTCTGTAAGGAATACGCGCTCAGAGTAGTGCCGTGTAGACATGTTTAGTTCAGAGCTCACAAGTAAATACGACCTCAAAGTTTTTTAAAAGATAATTACCTACAAAAAGAGTGCCAAAAATAACATTTCCTGTGATGTTTATACATTTGTAAACACAATTTTTCATAACTGCAAAATAATTGTTGAGAGACAGCAATAGTTACTTCTGCAAAATGTGCATACTTCTAAGTTTTGAAGTAAAATTAACATTATGCCCTGGGTAAGCATCGTGTTGTAACTCATCTGTAGTAATGCTCACATAACATCTGTCTGCTGAAACTTTACTTCAGACGGAAGGCTGTCTGAACATAACTATTATAAAGTAACTTTAGTTTATAAATACAGTATTGGTTTGCTCACAGGAAAATATTAATAATAATAATAATATTAATTATAATAATAATAATAATAATAATAATAATTAAAATTTTTTTTTTACAACGGAAGCTCGTTCACCAAGGTGGTGTTCTTCCACGAGGACGTATGTAACTTTTACATGTACATCATGAAAACTATAAAATGTAGAACTAAACAAGAAATTTTTTAGTAACAGAATCAGATATGAAATAACTAAATATCTACCAACTTCCTAGAAAAAATACTAGATGCCAAGTCAAAACCTATCTTAACATTGAGTTCTAGATAACATTAACTCACGTATTCATTACTCAGGTTTGAGTTATGCAAAACAGGGTAGGATTGTTTAAATTAAGCTGAATTATGTACTAGAATAGAATATGAATTAATGAGACAAAAATTTCACTTTGAACCAAATTTATTCTACATAAATCTGCACTCAGAAAATGAAACCTAAGTTTTGATTCATGTGGATTACATTTTTTGGTGGTTGTGGCTCTCCAATGTAAAAATTACCTTATCTGTATTTATCTATGATGAAAATATGTGTTACTTTAAATTACATGTAACTTACTCAACATAAACAAAGTTTTATGCAAATAAACAGAATTAATAACAATAATATATCTTGTTTCAGTGGCAATATCTGGTCAAACTCTTCTCTTGTTCGGTGGCACAGGATTTCCATGGGGCTTAAATAGCAACGACAAAATTTACATGTTCAACTTGAAAACACAAGCTTGGAATGTTTTAAACAGTGGTGGAGAAAGGCCACAGGGCAAGTATGGACAGGTACCTAATATTCATATCGAATGAATTTTATTATTTTATTCACGTAGTTCTTTGTAAACCTTACCCAGCCTAGAAATCGTAGCGTAGTTCGCAGGTTAAAAACTCTTGTGCATACTTAAAGAGGCTATAGATATGCAAGGGCCTAGGCCTAACATTTGTCGAAAAATCTCTATTTCCCAAAGGGGTCCCATCGGTGGTGATTTGGGCAGTACACTGGGAGATAATCCCCTACTTCATTTCAAAAGAGTATACTGCATTCTTTAACATTATTTTTTGGCCTATTTGACAGGAAATTAATAGTCTTAAAATTTCCATACTTTCTCAGGCCATGTGCTTACACCAAGGATGTATTTATGTTTTCGGAGGGTGCCGTCAAGTTTGTCCAGGAGAATTTCACTTCAACTCAGAACTTCACGAACTTAATCTACATACAAACATGTGGACCCATTTGCACGAGAATCTACCCACTGACTTTTCTGAAGACGCCCTCTGTCGGGGAATGTACAGACACTCAATAGCAATTCACAAAAATAAACTGTTCGTTATAGGAAATAGTTGGCATGAACTGCAATATAAATCACACTTTATGAATAAGGTATGGATTCGCAAGGATCATCTATTATTGGCATAATTTTCATGAGAGTACAAACAATTTGCTTGGGGTGAGGGGGAGAAGGGTGAGAGGATTTGTGTTTTTTTTTTATAGAACCAACAGTGCTCTCGTCAGCTTGAATTATATATTTGATGAACTAAATCCTTATATTAAAATTCTCATCTTTATATATTTGCATGGTGGTATATCATTTATCATTATTATTGGCATTAATCTTAATAAGTAGTACTTCCAACATTGTCGTTCATAATTGATGTATTTATAAATAGTTCTTGATTTGTGGATGTGTAAATTTATGTCTATTAATGTCATCAGGATAATATATCAGTTTTATAATGTAGCCAAATCAAATTTTTCTATTTTTAGCTTCATGTTATTACCCCAGTTATTGGATACGTTGCTGTTGCCTGCCTTGATAAAATGATTCGTAATGATATCCCCTTCCGCATCTTTTCAAAGACCCAATTTGCTGTTCGTCATATTAACATGATATAAAAATTATATTGAATGATTTATTTTTGTTCATATCAAAAAGAGCAAACATCAGACAAATAAAATATATAGTGCCCTTTCTGTATTATTAAAATATCTTAGAGTAAATTGAAGATAATATCCAGTGACTTATGCTTGATTCAATTTTTTGTTACTTTATTCTCTTTGTGTGCTGTATAAGTGCAACATCATTCTTATTACCCTAATTGTTACTAATTAATTAATGCTGGGACCCACTGATACATCTGGGTAGACTGAAGTAATGAAGATCAAGTGCCTTGCTTAAGGACACCAGCAAAATGCACAGTGAAGGATTGAAACCCCAACCTCGAGTTTAGAAAACCAAACCGTTTCCACTGCACCAAACCGTCTCTGTTGTAGTACTCTAAATCATTATTAATGTTGTTATTTATCAACAGATACATGCATATGACCTTGGAACAAGGTTATGGGAGTATTTATCAACTAGACCTTGGGAATCTATTGAGCATTCTTACCCAAAGAGAAGAGTTTACCACACCTGTTGCCAATGGAAAGATAGTAAATGTTATATCTTTATTCCTCTTTATACACCGTCTTTCGTAAAAATGGGGAACCCCCAAAACTTAACATTGAATTGCTTATTTAAAAATTATTTAACTTCTATTTTTATATACAAACTAAGCAATTCCAATATTGAATTATATTCTTCGACACAAGCAGGGTGTATCTTACTCCCTCAGAAGTGACTTTAAATGATGCTATACTTAATATGTATGATTGATTGATTGATTGATTGTCTAATTGATTAATTTATTCAATTATGCATGGAGCTATTATTGCGAAGGAGATCACTCGACAAAACTCCGTGCACGCAGCGCTATGCAAATGGTCCAGGAGCAAAGCTGCCGCAGCACGTGAAGTGCATTTGCGTGATGCCTTTGAAGTCTAATATTATTTCTAAAAGAAATATTTTGCGAAATCTTTTCCTTAAATATACACATAACATACTATAAGTTTGAAAAATCCAATCAGGGGAACATTGTTAATTTTAAAGATATTTAATGAGTTAAAATCAAACAGTTTATTGCACAACTGCCATGTTGAAGCATATAAAGGCATGTTGTTGCTAACAAAAAAAAAATGTTAATAATAAGATAGATGCCCGCGCATGATTCAAAGGTGAGGAACACATTGGTTTGTCGCGTCAAAGAAATCTGTTGCTGCGTGATCTCCTTTTCAATAATACCTCCATGATTTATGTATGTGAAACACTAGTAAGGCTTCATGTTCCAATCCTAATGGTCATAAGTTTAAGACCTATGCCAATCTTTTATACATGTACCTAATAAAATGATCAATGTCTTGGAGAACAGCTCTATTGTAACAGTAGCGGTCCAAGGTTGAGAGGAGCCACTTCAGTAAGATCTGGTTTTAATAAGCTTTCTTAACACATCACATTGGAACTAACTGTTTATGCTGATATCCATGGTCAGCTAATTTATTGAGAAAAAAATGAATTATGAAAGTTAAGTAAAAATTGGCAAATATTCAGAGTTTTCTGAAGATTGGGACAGTTTGCAGATTTTTGCTTTCTCATGGGAGTGTGGGTGCCAATTTCCAAGAGACTCCTACTACTCCAAAACTTTTTGGGACCGCGTAGGTGGAAGTGAGTGGCTGAATCCACCAGTGGAGAGTTCAAAACTTGATGCATATCATCTTTCAAAGCATTTCAAGAGCTACTATACAAGCATTGTAGTTGCACGTGGAAAATGAAATGTATTCAAGTACTCAGACTACTATTAAACAGTGGTTGCATTTTGGAGTAGCCATTTTGGAAGAATCAACTTGGATTTCTAAGCATCAAATGCATTGTAGCCTGCACTCTCACATTTTTTTTTTAATACTCTCTGGTGTCTGCACACTTCTCAAAGGACTCCATAGAGAGTTAACGTTTTTGCCGATAATTGCATTTCTGTATCTAATGCAATCTAAGTGTTACACGTCTGAGTGTATGGGAAGATCTAAGTTAATTTAGAACTAGAGAAATACCACACTGTTCAAACTACTAAAATAATTTGCTTTCTCAAGATTTAATTCCTGCTTCAACTTTAAAAAGCACATAGAATGTAAATGTAGATAGAAGACTTACTATATTTTAGTTATTTATAATCATAATACAAATTGTTTTTACTACAGGTATTTATATGTGTGGAGGACATAACAGTAGCTATATATATGATGACCTGTGGAAGTTGAATCTAGAAACATTACAGTGGTCGAAGCTAAGCGTGTCAATGCCTGTACCGACGTTCTTTCATTCAGCGGCTATAACACCTGTAAGTTGTTTTTTCCCCAGTATTTGATAATGACTTGAATTGATTATTTAAAAATTAAGGTGGGGTTTAATTATAGTAGCATCTGTGTTTTCTTATATCTATTTCATGTAAGTCATTAGCTGTTCCATATATTTATTGGATATTAATTGGACATTAGGTTTAGGACACTAGGAAGACATAAGGAAATGTATATTATTTTTATAAAAACTGAAATTAGAACACTTTTCATACGATATAATTTCAATTCAGATAAATTTGCGCCCTCCTTTCCTGGCCTGTTCCAAGGGCGGTTTGAATGGTTCGGCCAAACACTCGTTCGTGCATAACCCCATCCGAAATGAACCATCCCACCTCTTGCTTCAATCAACTACCATCAAGATGTATATTTTGGCCCCATCTCTCGTTGTACCTCTAACAAGTTAGTGCAGGGAAAACTGGTAATTGTTGAAATTGCACATGCCCTTGCTACTTACAATAGTGGTACGTACAATTGCGATATGACCTTGTAATGCAACAAATGTAACTAGACAATGAATCTGAACACAGATACAGTATACAGTTAGAACTTTGAGGTTTCACATATTGGATTCCCTTCATAGAGAAGCTTTAATCGATGTAGCAAACATTTTACTAAATACAGCGCATGTTTACTCATGAATCTATGATTTAATGGCAATGGTATAAGGTTTCTTATGTCCATGAAGGCATACACTACTCCCCAGTGCGCTTGTGTGTAGATGATTGGTTGTATCGAATTGCTAGAATAGGATTTCCAAGAAAATCACCCTATGAACATCATTATTAAATAATAAATTATGTAATTATATAAAAAATGTATGTAATTGTAAAGTGTAGTGAAGTTGAATATAATGATATTGTGGTCTGATTATGATGTAACATAAATTATGTATTTGAATTAAGCAAATATAATATTTTTTTAAAATAATGCTTAATATATCAAGACTAAATATTTTCATCTGTTTTGCTTATTATTGTTGTAAGACTGTTTAATCGTTGATAAACCAAACACAATCTTTGTGCTTGGTTTATTAATGATTAAACAGTCCAACAACAATAAGACCAAAGTTAACAATTTATTTGATCATTTTAATGAGCTATGAGATTAAATTTTGATTATTAATAAATAGTGAAGATGTTAATTTTTCATTATTATATTTGGCACCAACCAAAATTTTGGTAGTTTGGACTTGGACACATAATACTTTAGTATTGTTATTTTAATTATCTTAATTGTTATTTCCTAAATGCAGGCTGGTTGTATGTACTTATATGGTGGTGTAACGTCACTCGGGGACCGCGTAAGAACGTCAGCCATTTTCAGGATTTGGCTGGAGGTACCTAGTTTGTTGGAAATCGCGTGGAACTATCTACACAAATACTTCAGTCATCTTGATAAACTGTCATACATGCAATTATACAGGCTTGGAATTCCACCTGCTTTATTAGATAGGCTGAAACCATACAATAAATAGGCCATAGATCCTTGTGAATAAAATCTTACACCGGGCACACACTGCGCGTTACAACGGTCGGACGGAGAATCCATCTGCGTTGACAGTGAGCGCTAGGGGATGCGTCACCGTCTGCTGATTGCCGGTGGTAGTCTGAGCAGATTGTTAATAAAAACAATCTGTTGCGCTTCGCGTTGGCCGATGGCTGTCGAGCGCTGTGCGTGCCCGGTTTTAGTTCATTAGTTATGCTGCGGCTGTTTTTATCATAATTTTCCAAAAGTTTGAAACAATACTAAATGAAAAAAAGTGTTCTCACTTTCTCTTTAAAACTCACAAGTGATTTTTTATATATATATATATATATATATATATATAAAATATACATAACCTAGGTGTTATTGTGTTTTAATTAAATTTTAATTCGTTATTTATTTTATAAATTTCTTTATAAACATTTTCTGTTTGGATGTACTGAGGTCATTTTAGCAGACACTGGTATTAGTAGTTTTTATGCCGAAATTGAAGATTACAGTATGACAAGCCACGCAATTATAACAAAAAAAATTTACATAATGCACCCATGCAATATGAACCACAATGCAATCTTACAAAGTTTACAGTATTTATTTTCAGTTGTGTGAAAACATTAAAAAAACATGCATAATAATAATAATAATAATAATAAGTTTTACTTATTCACGGAAACTCAATTCAGTCTTTTTACAAAGATTTAAAAGCAAATGAAAAACAAAAGAAAGTACTAATAACTGTAAAATTTAAACAAAAATTATCTACAACATACTGGAAAGAAAAGTTTGACAAAATTTTTTTGAAACTCTTCAGATCTTCAGCATTTTTTCTTCATCTATTGTACTACTGTAGCTAGAACTGATTCTGTTATTATAATTGATATTTTTAAAAATTATTTTTGTTAATTCCCAAGTAACTCATTGTGCTCACAAATATAGCACAAAAATATAAATATGTCTTCTGAGATTTCTATAAGATCTTAACAACCAGATTGTCAAATATTGATGAAATTCATATTTACACTTTGCTTTACAAAAAGTGAATGACCTATCGCTTGCTTCGTCTCTCAGAGTTAGTAGGCCACTACAGGCCAGCGATTTGTTCTTGAACTTAGGTGATTGTTGGGATATTTATGGCAGTTGGACAAACATCTACAGAAGTTGTAAATACATCAGTATATAGAACGATAAAGTATTTCATTTTGAGCAACATTTAAGTGTCAATTGAGGAAGGGGGAGGGTAGATGAGTGTAGTGAGCAATTCAAAATCCTCGTTTGATAGGAATGAATGATTAATACACAGTACCCTGCAAAAGCTTAAAAAATAATCTAAAAATCTGTTAAATATGACACATTAATATTAATTGTTTTAGGTTTGGTTTTTGTGTGTTGCTGTCTCTCCCATATGCAATTTTCTATGTTTGGTATTCATGGCCATAATTTATGATGGCATTTTTAGACAACTTCTCAGCAATACTATTTAAGAATTTGTTGTCTGTAAAAAGTTAATTTTTTAAAGGGTTGAACACAAATTAATACAAACATCCACTCTCCTTTAGATCAAGATATAATGTGTTCGAAAGTTTTTTGAAAACACAATATTCTTTCACTTTTTGATTGGGAATTTGTAATGTAGTTTAGATGTTTTAATCTTTATCATTATTATTGTAGTGAAGTCTGAAACAGCTAAAATTTAGTTCCTTGAAGTTTTGAGAAAAAAGTAAGCAAAATAGTTTTAGAAATTAGGTGTAATTTTATCATGTAGATTTTTAAAGAGATATTATATTACAGAACTTATATTAATTAATAAACTAGTATAATTTGAAAGGAACAACTAAAAAAAGGATGACCGAAAGAGGATGCAGAAAAATGAATTTAGGAATTGTTCAAAGCAGAGACCTCCCGTTTGGGTGATTATATTCAATGGGACAAAAGCAATACTATGTATGTTACGTATCAGTTGATGGTACAAGCCTTTAGGCTGTCACCTAATCGTATATATTTTTTGTACCAAGTCTGAATTTGAGATGTTGAATTATGTTTAGAGCCCTTTAAGCATTTGGTTTAGCATTAGAAGAATAGCTTTCACCTGAAAAGTTTTCTCGCTAATTGACATTTATGGGGCCATTGCTATAGTCTTTGGATGTACCCTTGGGTTTCTGGACGTCAAGTTTAGAAATTTTTGTAGTAGGGCGTGTGGGGTTCATTTGGGATGAGTTTTTTTTTTGATGTGTGTGACTTATTGAACTCAATGATTTTTTAAATTTTAACAATTCAAATTTTTACTTAGATTTGCAGATGTGTCTTGATATTTTAGGGGGTAGTGTCTTAATTTCTTTTAAATCTGATAATTTAAATATCAAATTTCATTCCTGGTATGCATTAAATTGTGATGTGTAACAAAAAAAAAATGTTTCTTTTTCTAAAATGCCTCCGAGGTAATGGTCAATGTCTTCGAACGCGGTCGTGCACTTTTTCTAGCCCTGATGATGACATCACATTATGACCATATATAGGCACATTATGACTATATACGGGCATACAACAGTTTTTTTTTGTCAATTCAAGAAAATTTGATAGTGTGGTCAGTGCATTAAGGAGCCCACTAGGCTAATTGGAACCAGTGGTCCTGTCAAAACAATCCACTTATGTATTGACGTAGGTTAAATTTCACTTCTGATGAGATTCATAGACACAATTGATTTAAATAAATTTATATTAAAGAAATAAGAATATAAATAGACTTTATCACCTTATATATTGGGAAATTATTTCCAATGTTCATTATTGTTAAATTGTTTGTCTAAACTTGTGCAATGCATTATTGTAATCTTCATTAACTGTTATGAAGTAAAAAAAAAAAACATAAATATTATTTGTATTTTCACCATGTTTAACTAATTAAAGATAACTTACTATTTAAATTGAATAATACTATTTATATAATATAGTAATTAGTTTAAGAATAGGCACCCTGGAAATTGAACTCTACTAACAGTCAAGAATGTTTATTCCTCCAACAACATGATTGGCTTCTTCCCCTATGGTTGTCTAGAGTTCCCCGACGGTGGTCCTGTCTTCCCCCCCCCCACAATGAACCCCTATTGGTGCTGCCACTGGCTATCATTAGAGTCTTTGAGTTTTACATGATTGAGTTTAGGGTGTGGTCCATTAATCCATAGATCCACCAATAATTTGATTTTTTAAATAAATATAATAAGTAAAAGCAATGTTTGATTAGCACACCACAAGTTATAATGTCGTTAACAAGAACCTACAGTATATATTTTAAATAAATTTTGAAAATTCTTTAAACCATTATGTCTGTATTATTTTTGTGTTTATTTAATGGTCTTTTTGAAATTAAAATTTGCTTTAAAAAATAAAACACGCTTTCTATCTTGGTGTGTACTGTAGTGTCTGTCAATAAGTTAAATCGCCCTGATAGCTTTCACATAACTTTCCTGAAAAGGTCCTATAAAAATATTATTAGTTTATCACCCTATCTGGGCAGGAAAAGTGATGAGGGAGGGAGATTTTTTTTTTTAATTTTTTAGTTTGCTAAAGCCAAATATCACCCTTGGGTTGTTTGCTGGTGCATTGAAATTCAAAGTAAAACATGATTTAGATAATGCAAACAATATCTACTAACTATTTAATAAAATAAATGAAAAAAATAAATAAAAAAAATTAAAAAAAAAAATTTTTTTTTCAAAAAATTTTTTTTTTTTCAAACATTTTTTTTTTCCAGTACCATAAAAGACATGCACACAAGGGTGATAAACTAATAATTTTTTTTATTGGGCCTAAACTCAAGTATAGAGATGCAAACTGTCAACTTCTAAAGGCATTTTGAGACAGCAGTTCTGACAACTTTGTGGTAAAAATGCTGGTACACTTACCGACATGGACCTACTGTATAATACCAACCAAATATTGCAGTGGTATTGCCTTAATGTAATGCCTTTCTGTATGAATAGATCATGCACATTGAAAGAACCATTGGATAATCTTTTTAGTCATCACAGACTGAGGGCATGCTTTATTGTTTATTGTTTCTATAAAATTTGCTGATAAGCAAGGAGTAATATTGTGGGAATGTGACCTGCTTTTGTTTTCGACACACTCTGGACCTCACTATGACAGGAATATTAGGTATTATTAGGTCTGAGATGGAACGCTGTTTAACACCAACATTGTGGCTGTGGTTAGTTCTGACCTTTTGATGCCATTTTGACCCATTGTTGGTAATATTACCGGTAATATTACCGCATTAGGCTGGTAATGTAGCTCTGTCTGAAAGTGGCTTAAAAGTCCATGGTAAAAACAATGTTTTGTTCTAAGGTAAACCGAACAGATTATGGATATTACAGTACTGCAATCAAACTAACTGTACAAATTGTTACAACAAATGATGTTGAGGATAGGTTGAGATACTATATTACCAAGGTGTCTCTGAGTTTTTTCCAGCTAATAGAGTTACTTTTGGCTACAAAAGAAAATAGTCTGTCAATTTGCAACGAATCTGTCTAATATTCCAGGTAATGTAAACAATGTAATACAAAATTGTAGCGTTTGTTTAAATGTCGGCGATAATATAATTGTCAGGTTATAAATAGCACAGATGTTACTGAGCACCAAACACGTAGAAAAAAGTTCAAAATCATGCCTTCTGTTCACAACCATTGACCTGACCTTGTCCTAATAGCCACTTAAAAGCATATTATTAATTATTCTCATTACTAATGAATATTCATTAAGCTTGCAGGCAATGAATAATTTATGAATGTTCTATTTGATTTGAATTTTATTCCATTCAGAAATACCCTACCACAACCAGTACATGATTTCATAATAAGCATTTAAACCAGAATCCATGTTAGATACACAGTCATAAAGACTTTTTATCATTTTTTTTATTAAGAAAAGACCTACAGTTTAGTGACAACTAGGATGCAGATGTAAACAAGATGATAGCGTATACAATAATAATCAATATTAACAGAAATATACAAAGCCTAGAAAGTACGGTTAACAATAGGTGATGATAATAATGTTAAAATTTTGCCGATCAGGCTCTCAATCTTGAGGTCAGGGTTGGATTTAAGGAGCACCCCCTGCCCCCACCCCTCTTGTCATCTTTTATTTAAAAAAAAAAAAAATACAAAATGACATAGAAATACTTATTGTTACATTATTGTGTGTAATGGACACGAATCATACCATTATTGTATACATATATTGTATCTGTATAAATCATATTATAATACATATCTGCATATTGGTGTCCCCTCGTTTTAAAAATTTTGTGATCCGCCCCTGGATGTCAAAAGGTCTATGAAAGCTCAAACCCTATCTAGAGTAGGATATGAAATATGAGAATGTACTCCTGTACTGTACAAAAGATATTAAATGTATATATGTGCATTTTATCCATTACAATACTAATTATAATAATACCATTCAAATATTAAATAAAAGAGGCTTATTCAAATTATCATTCATCAAACATTTTATACTCTATTTACATTACAATGGATCAATAAAATTCAGTATCATTTTATGGATAGCTCGTGAACAGAATATTGATTGATGATAATAAAAGTGCTATTTCAATGTGAGTTTGTGTCGGGAAAATATAGGAGTGATGTTTTTGCTCTACTTGACGTGTTATCGTACCAAATACTCAGTGATTTGGGTGGGAATTGAACCCATGACCTCCAGATAACTAGTCTGGTGGCATAACCACTAGCCTACCAAGCTTGCGCAACTAGTGTTGAATCTGATCCCCAACAGTAGTATCAGCATGTACTGCAAATGCTATTTTGATGTGAGTTTCCCATCAGGAAAATATAGGAGTGATACCTGAGGTGTTATAGTACTGAATAGGCCTATTCAGTACGTTCCCAAATACTTGAGAAAAAAAATTTGCAAGTGATCTGGGTGGGTATCGAACCCAAGACATCCTGATAACGGTAACCAGTCTGGCGACAAAACCACTGGACTACCAATCTTGAGCTTAGTGACTAGTGGTGAGTCCAATCCCGTAGCAGCGGGTATTGCAAATTTCGACATGTTTTGCATTATTCTTTTGGTTAACTGGGAGGCAAGACATTAAACTGGATGGGAAATCTCATGCCCCCTGTTGTATCGCCACTATGTGTAGTGATATTTTATTTCAATTAGTGGTATTCAATATTTTAAAATAATTATAAATGTAGTAATTCTGTTGCATTATATTTTAGTAGAAATAAAACTGGAGAATATTCTATATATAGTATATTCCAAAACCATCATGTACTGTTTGAACTTCATTAGACTGTGTTAGACTATGGTTTTGATTATCCCACCAAATCTCTTTTTTGGTACTATTATCATCATATTATACTAATTTGAGAAAGGACCAAAAGTTTGTGACAATTTGCTGCCTAGATGCGTGCATACTGTAGATCTGGAAGAAATATATCAGTACCATTCTTTAATAGGTATTTCACATTATTGGCATTTTTTGAGTTCCTATTTATGTCCATTAAAATATCGTCAAAAATAATTTTACACTAACACTAATCTACAAAATATTTGACGAGGACTTGTCACGCAATGAAAGCAACATATGTGAGAATCAGTGGTCGTGCTAGGGGGCTAGGGGGCTACAGTTCAATGTAGGTAAGTGGAATGTACCACTTCTCAGAGAGTGCAAATTTCAGAGTATGTTCACTAAATATAAAATAATATAAAGTGACCAAACCATTAAAATTAGCCAATACGTGATGAATAAGGAATTTCTACAGCTCCAGCATCACAACATTTTAGCATGTATTGTATAATCCAGTTTTTGCTGCAGCATATTCTTTGTCAGTATCTTTCCTGATTTTATCAACATTCATATAAACTCAATTGTTGGCAGTTCTTTATTTAAAAGGTAATTTGTCTTTCATTTGCAAAGGTCTTTCTAAAGTTATTCAATATATATTATGCTTTAGAATATTAATCTTGTAAATGGCAATACTTGCAGTATTTGGCTGACTAGGCTTCACAGTGGGTTGTGGAGGTGGGGTGTCATTTATGAGAATAATTTTCAGTTTTTAAGTCTCCCAAAAGTTGGGAGGGTGACAAGACAGAAGGCGGTTCTCCACACCAAAGGCAGCCTTTTTGCAAGTATTCTTTAATTTCCATTAACTTATTTTTTTTCTTACAAGTCTGTCACAAAACCCCGTTTCCCATTTATACTCCGGAGTAGCATTTCAATACTGAGAGATTGGTTTCATATGTATAAATAAACTTGACATTTCCATCCCATAAATTATATATACTTGACATTTTAAGATAGAATATCTGAGGTAAGCTAAAATTCTGTCCAGATTATAAAATTTTCTTTGACAAAAATCTGTTGTATGCCCATATTTAGTCATGGTGTGCCTATATATGGTCATAATGTGATGTCATGTTACATGTTTTTGTCAAATAAAATTTTCTGGACAGGGAATATCAAAGTGAAGGAAATAATAATAGATGAAGGCAGTTTAATCAGTTTATCATATGAAATTAAAAAAAATGGTAGCACTTTACTTAAACTCAAATTATTTATTACACAAAATTCATTGAAGCCCTGGGCTTCTTTTTTTGCGAACCTTGGATGGGATTCTTTTTGAGATGGGCTTCTTTACGAGGCCACTTTTGCAAAAGTAAAAAGGGGGGGGCTTCTTTTCAAAATGAATGCTGTAAATTTTGGGAATTAGTATTATAAAACAATAAATAGGTCAACTGTAATATCAATCTTTATCATGGAGTGTATTAACTAGCATTAAATCACCTAAACTACTGTAAAAGTCTAGTTTCTTTGAAATTTGTACAGTGTAAATTTCCTGATGATGACATAATTAATGTCGAAATATTGAATCCCAACACGATGGCGTGTATTTCAATACTTGGAGTATGTATTATACTTTCTTATCTGAGATTTGTACAGTGTATGTACTGTACTTTCTTGGAAGAAGCTTAAAGAAGTCCGGGCTAATTTTCGAGGCTTATTTTGCAAACTGATGAGGTGGGCTTCTTCTCGAGATTAAGCCCATTGGGCTTCAATTCGAGGTTTTATGGTCTCATGGACTTAGGCTTTGCAAAAGTTGTCTTTCCACGAGACGATATACTATAGTGTAAGTATGTAGAGTGAAGCTCTGTCCACGCTATCAAATTTCTTTGACAAAAAACTGTTGTATGCCCATATATAGTCATGATGTGCCTATATATGGTCATGGTGTGATGTCATCAGACCATATTTAGGCATGTCACAATAAAATTTGATAGTCTGTTCAGGGTTAGAATAGAACTAAATGGACCTTTCTGCTAAGCCCCGCCCCTTGGATATTGTTGCTAAGGTCCCATAATAATGTTCCGACAGTGTACACATATGCAAACACATGCGTTGTGAGACATGCGCATATTCCTGGTGCTGTTCTGATTGGGCAGTTGTTTAGTTTGATTGACAATCCGGAAAGATCAATTATTTTGGATCTGTGCCTCATCGTAATTCTGAGATTTGCCATGACACATTTATGCTGTACGAATTCAGTGGCCCAAGAAATTGGAAGTTAAGAACTATTAAAATTTCAATTGAATACTGTAAATGAATTATAAACTGTAATAGTACTATATCTAATAAAAAACACCTAAAAGGCATGCATCAAACAGTGTTTTACTAGTAATCTAAGACACTTCCGATTTTCTGTTATTAATCACAGGTAAATACACTATTTGAGTGCACTTAAGATACACTGTAGGTAGTAATAGTTAATTATGTACTTTACTTAAAAGAAAGTAGATGATGTAAGTACTCTCAGCCAATAACCGCAAGCTGAATTACTGCTGTACATGAGCAAGGTCAAAGAAACATTAGCTACAGTCAGTATACATACTACACAATAGATTGTGACATTTAAACAGCTACCATTCTTTAATTAAATATGTATTTCATATTTTATGCAGGAATTAAAATAATTAGTCAATGTACTTCTTATATATAAAATTAGAACAATTAACAGAAATAAAAAGATGTAAAACAGATATTAATTTCTGGGGTTTAAATGTTAAAAAAAAAACCTTATTTATATTGTTGCCCTTATTTTTTTAACAATTCATCAGAGACATTAAATAATTAAAAAGGATGATGCTAAACTGATTAAAATTAACAATTATTAAATCTAAGAAGAGATACTATAACATTTATTATACAGTGTCAATCCAAACATTGCACGTAATTATCCCCAAATCTCATTACCCAAATGGTCTCTTATTACACCTGTGAAGTTGTTATTGATTATATAATTTATTATCATAATTATAATATAATTATCTATTGTATATAAACAATATTAGGTATCAATGTTTGTGAATGTTTGAAAAATGTAGAAACAATTTGCGCAGGTTCAAAACAGCTCCAGCTTTTGTTTTAAAGATTCTAGATTGTACACTCAACATGTATCCCCATCTAAGCAGAACACAAACCTCGTTGTTCAAAATGGATACTGTTCTTATAAACTAGCGGTGCCTCAGTAATTTTTCTTCATTCGGTTGGAAATTTGTGACAAGTTGATTTGAGTACGCTCGTAGTCAATTAAGGGCACGTGTCAGCCGGCATAGCATCGTGATATTTAATCAATATAGTGATTATCATACAAGCACTCTGTATATATTCAGCTTCCAGTATATATATATATATATATATACACTACCTCTTTCATCTTTAGATTTGTCTCACCTATATTATGGTTTTTTTTAAATTTTTTTTTATTTTATTGCCATCTCACTTTGCTTTGATATACTCTACTATTTGACTTTTCCCCTCCTCATTCACTTGCCACTGACCTTGTCTTGTTGGAAAGCACTGGTTCTCTTCAGGCTATTTAACTTAACTGATTTTAAAAAAAAAAATTTCCTTCATATCCAACAGCAAGTATGCTCGCCACTTACAGGATGGAACAATGCTTTATAAACCAAGTGTCTTATTGAGGTCGAGTGGAGTTGTTTTTAGTCATGAGGAAAAGTGCTGCTGTGACAGGAATTCAACCCAGGACCCAAGGATTAGAAAGCAAGCATACTAACCACTAAGCTATTCAACTCCACTCCCAGGCTCAAATTTTGTACTTACTTAGGTTTACTTAGGTGATGTACTGGATGCAGGACTAATGTCCTCTATGTCCAGATTCAAATTTGTTAATCCTGGAATTCTCGATGCTTGTTTTATGGTCAAACTTAACTGGTTGATCCTTCAGAATTTATATAATCTGTTCTCGAACGCATAGAGAGAGGAAGCTGTTTCAACTTCATTTTGGAGTGCATTCCAATTGTCTACAATGCGATTGCCAAAGGAAAACCTTCTTAAGTCCACACAGGAATGTTGCTTTAGCAGCTTAAGAGAGTGTCCACGGGTTCTGTCTGATATATTTAATTGTAAAAAACTAGAGACTGAACTATCATAAAAATTATTTAGAATTTTAAATGTCTCAATCATATCGCCTCTATATTTTCTGTACTTAAGAGTAGGTAAATTTGTTTTTATTTTTTATTTTTTTTGTATTATTGTGTTACAATTGCTTTAAAGTACCAAGCCCCATGTGCCTCCCCCATTGGATCCGCGCCCGTTTATTATTGTATTTAAATGATTTTAGTAAAATTCTAAAGCTATGGCAAGAGATATTTTTTTAAATATAGCTATACTGTAGACATCTCACTCACAAGAATTACTGCAGAGTTCACACTCTAAACATTGTTGTCTAAACAAAATTCAAATATGAAACATGTCATTGAGTAAGCATAGAACATGTTTAATACTAAAATTTATAATAGCAGAGGAAGTAATTATTATATCCAAAGTAGTGATAACATAATGTTTGGGAAATAGTATCAACATGGAATGTATCCACAGTACTAATGCAAATTGTTGCTTCATGATTTATTATCTCATCTTGTTTAGTCTCTCTGTTCCAGCCGCAATTCTAAGATGACGTGAGTACAGTATTTAGTCTCTCTCTTCCAGCAGCAATACCAGATTGAGTAATGACTCTGTATCTTAGCATCATCATGGACTATTTTTATACCTCCATGGCATCATAGACTATTTGCACAGCACTGTACATGCTTTTGTTACACAAGTAATTGAAAGTGCTTTATTGTACATGCATCTTCTGTGATAAGAATATCTCTCAGGTTTTGTGGGGTTTTTAACAAGAAAAATTAGTTTCAAAAATTAGACTCAACATTTTCACAATTGAACCAGATTCCAAGAACAGGCTAAGTTTCAAGCATCATGATTCATTTCCTATTTTGATTTTGTTTAAAATATTCGAAAATAATAATTCAGATTCTGAATTCCAGATAAAATATAAATTATACCATGTTTATACTTGCTACCACATTAAATACAACGGATCTCCATTGAATTTAAAGAACTATAGCTGCTTTTACAAACGGAACTATGAGCTTTTATACCAAGTTGGGAACTCTTTCTTGGATTTTCCTAGGGAAATGTAGACATTATTATGTGAATATTACTGTGAAAAATTGAAAAAAAACACTTGTACTATACAAATCTATGAAATAAGGTTTTCAACACTTAAATCATTAATACATTATAATAGTACATACTGTGGGTATATTTAAAGGAATTGTAGTAAAATAAAATAATACCTTTAGAAAATACCCAAAGTATATACAGTTATATTAACATAGCAATGAAACGTTTGTATCGGAGTGAAAAGTTTGTATCTGAAAAGTTCATTCTTACTTCTGCTACATAATAGTACTGTTGCCCCGGTAAAATATAATGCTGAATATTACATCATCTTATACTGTTAAATAACTCTTTAATCAACCTCTAAAATAACACATTAAACATGAATATCAATACCTACAATAATGTGATAATATTCAAGATGTCTTTATTGTCTATAATAATTAGGGTGGAAAATTAGGCTATGGTGAAGTACCTATTGATTGAACATTATGTTCAATGTAGTAACAACATGCTAATAATAATAATAATAAAAGTAATTATAATCATAATAATAATATTTATAGATATACTGTTTGTATTAAAATTTAATTCAAACATTGGATTGTTCATTAAAACATGTAAAAGTCATCAACTTCTAACATCTGTAAATTTATCCTAGCAGATATAAGGTATACAGCTATTGAAAACGTAAAAGGAAAAAAAACCTTGGAAAATAAAAATAAAAATGTGGATTGCTCATTTTAACGACTGTATCAAAGAGTAGAACTGTAAGTGGTCCGACTCTCAGGGTTTCGTTGGAATGCCATCGTATTTTCAAAAAGTACTAGCTTGAATTCTATTATTAGGGCATCCCCTATCGCATGGTAGTACAGTACTTTTTTTTTAGCGTCTCATTACGTGCATAAATAATCAGGGTTTTCGGATCTCTTACAATTCTATACTCTTTGAATATATATATAGTGCTTTAACATCTGCTATTAATGTAGCCAGGAAACTACTGTTCTTGATATAATTTTCATTTGAAATATCGTTTATTAAAATATACAAGAAAAGCAATTCTACTCGTTTTTACACTTTCAACTTTATGTTAGACTTAGCTGGCAGTGTATGTTTTTGGAAAGAAATTTAGTAACTTAATTAAAATCTTGAATTTTATTGTACCATTAGCTCAAAGCAAACAGTGTATCTTTAATTATTTAATTAATAAACAAGTATAAACATTGTGTAGTTGGTCATTATAATTATAATCATAAGACCATAGACCTTATTAATAGGTCCATGATAAGACTGTAAATAACGTTTTAAGAGTTAGCTAACTAAATATGATATGGTAAAAGATAAATAAATATAGACTACACTGAATACCAATATAAGCATACCTCTGTACATATATAAATACTACAATTAATATTTAAACAAACCAATTACAGTACTATAAACATCAATGACAACATTTAAAATCTGCAGTTTATTCTCGAAAGGCAGTAGCAGCAGTATAGCAACAACAATAACAACATTGATTAAAAACATCACTATATTTACAAGTTACAGATTAAATAGTCAAAATTCAATTTTGAATATTTTTTCTTAAAAGTTTGGTTAACTAATTGAGATACACTAGGCATGTTTAGGCGAGGTGGAAATGAAGGCTAGAATTAAGGTTGTCTTGCAAGAAGTAAACTACTCCAAGATTACCTCTTCTGAACATACTTAGTGATGATTTAAAATTTGGTCCTCGTATAAATGACTTTCATGTATTTCTACAAATGTTCCATTCTTCAGCATTGTTATTTGTTCTTAAAATCTGGACTGCCTTCTGCAAAAATGGGACTGTGAAAGCCTCATATTTTTATGTTTTTGCATTTAATGAATGAATATTGTCTTTTCAATTTAAAGACCAAAGCTGCTAATGACCAGGAAAAACTTGGTCCCAATAGCGGTGTTTAATTGGAGGGAGATCTGTACACTGATTCAACTTACGTTTAAGTACAAGTCTCCCTCTAATTAAAGACCACCTTCAATCTTCAATTAACCACCTCTCTAATTAAAGACCACCTTTCTGCAGTGCAAACTGAATACTTGTCTTTTATCAAAAATAAAAAAATTTCCAAATTAAAGACCAAAGCTCCTATTGACCGGGAAATTCCTAGTCCCAGTAGTATTGTTTAATTTGAGTGAGACCTCTACTTTGTTCTGTATGTAAGCTTATAGAAATAGCAATTTATTGAACCAAAATTCATCCTTTGATTGTATTTTAACACTATTTTAATTTGTTCACAAGTCAGCTCACACCTATCCAAGGATAGCTTTAAATCTCTCCACTCATAATTATCCACAGTGAATGCTCCATAACAGCAACTTTGGTGCACAAAAAAACAGTAATATTATTTTAATGAATTACGTAAATATGCTTTGGGCCTTTACATGTGTGGAAGCCAACACGATACACTTTATCTTTGGTGTTCGCAAGTGAATGGGGTGGCAGGGCAAAGAACGAGTACAATTTTACCTCTTCCAATTGTTGTACTACACAACAAGATTTAACATTATCAAAACCTAGATTTCAAAATTCTTCACCATATATATTTTTACTTCATTTTCAGTTTTCTTTTTTGTTTTTGTTTCTGCATAGTTGGATTTTTATGACAATTATTCACATCCAGAATCAATAAATTGGTTAAATTTAATAGGAGCAAAAGACTCCATTTCAGTTGGTATATTACCGTAATCAAATGTGATTATTCCAAAATTTTGCCATATAAAATTTCTTTCTTGATGTTTACTTTCTAAAATAATGCATTGATTTATTTTTTTATATGATGAAGTGACCAGCATTTCAACATCATTGATGCTTAACCGTTTCTATCTGGAATGATAAAACCTCCCTTTTAACATTCGGGAGTATGAAATTGCTACGTAAAACGATAAGCAGAAATTGCACAGACACAGTAACTCCTCAATCAGTTCCCTTCATCCACCCATCTGCGTGTTCAGGCCAAATGCTCCGATAAATACATTAATTATTAAGATGACAAAGATAAGAGCAGTAGCCCAGTTGTTCAGTTTATCAAGACGGCGTTGGTGATACATGTTGTTGAGGTTGTCACGGCCAAGAAGCAGGAGAATAACGCCGACAGCAATTTGTAAGATAAACGAGAGGATCAACATGGTCATGACAAAGCCATAAAAGTGATATGAAGGGCCTTGTATGATCAAGACTTTGAATTGTGATGCATTGGCAAGGAGTAAAGCGACGTCCAACAAACCTTCTGCAATCGTTTTCTTGGTAGAGTAGGCATTGTAATCAATCGGGCGTGGCTGGGGATTCTGCAAGAACAAGACAATAAAGTGACAGTGAAAGGTTTGGTGTCAATGGTCAATGGTCATCCATGTATTTCTGAAGTGCCTTCCACATAGCTGTCTCAAAGCACTTTTTAGCCACTAAGAAACTACAGTAAATTTGCCAATCTTGTTTAAAACAATTCTTTATTTTCTTTGTAAATTAATGTACTTTATGAATTATGAAGTGGCTATAGCTTGGTGGTTAAGTGCTCAACTTCTAATTATGTTTCTGGGTTCAAATCATGCATTATTCCAAGATTTGTTCTCACAACTAACAACTCACCAAATAATGCGCATATTCAGACAATTACTGTTTTTACAGAGCATTAAAAATTCCTGTAAATGTGGCAAAGGGGGGTTGAAAGACAATGAAATATATTCTGTGAAATATGTTAAAATAAAATATTTAAAAAATACCTCTGAAAAGCCAAGAAAAGAACGAGCTTCCACAAGTCTTTCATACAACACCATGGCTTATGGTTTTAGATACTGCGGAACATTTCCACAAATTCCTCAATGCCTCTCTCTCCCTCTCTAGGCAACATCCAAGATAACTCAAGTTCAAACACACACTAATCGACTGATTAATCAGAAATATTTAAATTCCAAACCACGGCAAATAGAATTAACTGCAGACAATGCAAGTGATTAAGTTGAAACGAAGCAAACATAACAAGAAAACAACGGATGCAAAAGTAACGCCGACCTTAATGAGATCCTATTTACTACAGCCTGATTGGTTCGCAAATCTGATAACAAAAAAGCTTTATTAATAATCAGACAGCTTAAAGACCAAAAGATTCATTAACAAAAGCACATTATTGGTGGTCTGATAATCTTTTAGCGCCCTGCTCTAACTTCTGTACAAAACAACTTTAGCAAAACCAGAATTTTACTGCTGGCACGTATCCCACACAAGGGAAATTAAGCAAATTTCACCTGAAGGTGCTTCATTATTTGCCATTTCATGTCATAAGTTGATGTCAAAATACTTTACTATTCAACCTCAGTGCACTAAAGAAACTTTATTGCATTGTCATTCTATATCACTACTCAGTACATTACCATTATAATCATCACCATCATCATTATCACCATCATTATCATTAACATTAAAATTACCATTAACTTTATCATTAATATTAACTTTATCCTAATAATTTGATTAAATTCATTTGTGTATCTCACCAGCATTTCACATTTCTTTTTAAATTTATTTTATTATTTTTGCCACTTTACGACTTCTTGTCAGTCAGTCAGCTATGTATAGAATATCACGAGATTTTGATGGATATTGGCGCATTAAAAATTCAAATATTCTTATAAGTATCTATATTGTTCATAATATTTACATTTAACATTGTAAAATATTTAAATATATTATATCAGAATGTATAAGGTTGGTATAAAAAATGCAATGTTCTCAGGATGATGGATTTTCTATAAAAATCTGAATTATCATTTAATTTACTAATGTCCGCTCATGTCAGATTTTCAGTTCTTATAAAACAAAATCAACAAACCGGGAGTTGTCACTGTAGACCCAAGAATTATCGGCCCAAAATCTTGAAAATCCAGGGTCCACTTTGATTTCTGCAGAAATACATATAGGCTATTTTTTTTTTAACTAAGAAGGAACCCAAAATACTAAAAGGACACTTTGATACTTAAGCTTTTATTTATCAGCATGCTGTAGAAAGGTTGTATAGTTGCAGCTATATTCAGTGCAGCACAGTGGCAGCTCCAGAAATTTGCAGACAGCTGGGGTCTAACAAGGTCGACTGGGGTCCAAACTAAGTGGGCCTAACACAGCTTTGAACAGGGCCCTGTAATAAAATCTGTAGGGGGATTTCTGGCCACCAAAACTAACCAGGTACCCATTTAACTTCTGAGTGGAGGAGCAATGCAGATTAAGTGCCTTGCCCAAGGACACAATTAAGTAACTGGCCTCAGATTTGAACCCCTAAGCTATTAATTGGATACCAAGAGCCGTACTGCTGTGCCACCTGTCTGAATGAGTAATAAAATAAAAATTAGAATTTCTTTTGGAAAAAAGAGGCTTATCAGCTTTTTGAGATAAATTCAATGTTATGCTGGTAACAACATTTTTTCTACTAGATTCTGGTCTACACAGGCCAATACAGTAAGTACTAGAATATGCAGCTATTCATCAGCAAAATTAGTAAATCACAGAATATTTTGTCTAAAAGGGCTGTGAATTAAATAAATAAGAAAATTAAGGCAGCCGCCAACAAATGGAACTAGCAGTAGGAAACAAATTTTGTTTTACTTTGCCTGTTTATAGAAAATTACATTTAAAAGCTCCAATTAAAAACGACTCCCATTGTGATCAACTCTGAGTGAGAAAACAAGCCGACAGATGGTCTGCAATCTAAGCCTCGTCTTACAATTTCTTATTAAGAAAACCTGAGAATGTAAGTTGACAGCGGTTGTAGTAAGGCATCGAGTAATGCTGCATTCTCCTTTACCCTCTACTAGAAATTTCTACCGGTATAAGAACCAATACTTTACCTCCATGCAGGCCTCGAAGATGTTTGATAGTGACCTATGTAAATGAAGTGACATTACATCCTGTGCACTCTGCTTTTTGAACACGGGTGTTTTTCCCGAATGGAATAGCAATGCCTGTATATGTCTTCCTTTCAATAATGGGCATTGTGTGGATCTTGTCAGGTAGATCCAGCCGCATTGATTAAAAGCATTAGGCCATAATATAATTCGTGCATGCTCAAACAATACTATTAATAATTTTGTTATCAAAATAGACCATACCATTTTTTTTAAAGGGTATCCGTAATATAGATGATGGTATCTGCATGATATTAATGATTTCTCATCATGAATGTCGTTCTCATATGATTCTGGAAAGTTCTTTGTCTCTCAGCATAATTATCTTCGAACACAATTAAACATCATTAGCCCAGAATAAACACTGACAGTTTGAATAACAGGAAGCCAGAGAAATGAAAATGGATTGAAGCCTAGTAATAATACTTCTATGATAGTAAAAAATGTAATAAATGATATAACGATGCAAATATGGCAATAAGCCTAAAAGCAGCACGTATGTTCCTAACGAAATATAAGTAAATATAGACATTAATACGATAAAAAAAATCATACATCATACACAGTTGACGTATTATAGGAACATAATTTTATTAGGCACGAATATCTCGTCCTGTCCCCAGGACTTTCTCAACGTTGATATAAAATCTGTATTCTATTTTAATATATCATAGATCAGGAACAAAAAGTCATTTTTCAATTTTTTACAGATGTTAAATCTTATAATTTCTCAAGGAAATTTAAAGGTAGCTGTATTATTGAAGTACCTGCATTCAACATTAACAACTATGATTCATTTTTTGTATTTTAAGTCGGGCTGCATCGTACGACGCTGTCTGAGTTGGTCTTAACTGACAACCCTCCATCCAAGATAGATTTTATTTATTTATTATAAATTTGGCATTTACAGAAAACATTTAACACATCCTTGTACAAAAATTAAAAAATGCAAAACAATTTATTGTATTATCTTATAATATGTCATATTTTTGTTAATGATAATAATATTGTTCATTGTATAATGCATAATTATATGCATGTTATATATTTAAAATATTTATTTTTTAGAAGGACCAGCCATTGAAAGTTTGCTTGTATTTCTCCCTTTTCCACCAATTTGAAAATTTTGTGTTATTTGTAAGGAAAACAAAAAGATGTGGAATAAAGATTGATTGATTGATTGATGATGCTTTTTATGGAAAATAAATACATTTGATATTTAATTTGACTGCTTTCTTCTTCATTTAATTGTCTTTTTTTTGTTGATTGCTAAATTTGAAATCATTTATGTACAGCATCATGTTTTATAAGCAGCCTGTCAATGATTTATCGTTGTTATTGAAATAAATGATATATACTTGACTCATTGTCCATTAATGAAATGTTAATAGCATGGAAGCTACTCTATAAGTAGACATATTTCATATTACAATTATGGTCATTTCAGCTATTAATCAGGTGCAACTTTGAAAACTGTGACTATATTCTTATAAGATTTTCCATTAAAAAAGTAATTACTATATTAATAAAATTGATTATTCATATTTATAGTAAAATGTGTATTAATATTACATATAATTAGCCCACAAAAATGATTTAAAATTTAAATAAATGAAAAAAAAGTCAGATGTTTAAATCACCGCTAACGAGTAAATAAAAAAAATTTATATAAAATAACCTACCCCTGATATTGGTGTTGCTGGAACTGTAGTGACATCATCCTGAGGAGACATATCTAATACTTCTAGTTTTCTTTGCGGTTTCCTAACGCTACCTTGGTTAGCTATCACAGAGAACGACCTCTTCTTCTCTTTTACTGGTGAATCGGAAGTTTCAGAATACCGGCTTCTGCTGATGTTACATGGTGTGGAAGGACCGTGACGTTGAATAAGGGGTGAGTTCTCTGGACCGTGGACCTCTACTTCATCATCTCGAGGATTTACCAGAGGATGTAATTCTCCAAGTTCAAAACGTCTTCGAATATCTAATGTGGCTCTTCCAGACTGATCATCAGGAAGTTCGATTAGAGGACTGCCGTGACTGCTTCCATGCCCTTCACTACCTTCCATGTTAAAAGGATCTGGATGAGATTCCGAACAAATTTTAAAAAGAGTAAACTCTTCTTTTTATTTAAACTGATATTTACTAAGAGTTAACTTTCAAGCAAATTTCCTTGAAAACCTAGTTACTCCATATGCTGCTCTACTGAATAAGCATTCCTCATATCAAATTGGAAGGTCAATAATTTTTTCACAAGGAATAACCAACGATGCATTTAAAAATAGATCTGGTTGCTTTCTAAAAACTGAAGTATCGTTTCTTTGCGATCCACTGTAAACAGACAATTTCACAGTAGGCCTATTCCTGTTACTGTCTCCTTGCGAGCCCTTGCTACAAACACAGTAGCTCCACAGTGTGAAATCCAATAACACCGAATCAATTTCCACCTCTATGCTCTCGTAAAGCTTGACACATATCTCCACTCTATAATTAACACTTGTGTTTAGCAGAAGCTTAGGAATCTGTTTGCTGCCCTCTGGAGTTTTGAATTTGAAGTTAAATACGCATAAGATATATTCAAATTAGTCTGGCCTGTTGAGCGTTGAGTGGAAGAACAATGCTTGTTGGAACAATTCATTTGTGCTAGATTATTAGAGTGAACAGCTGCCACAGTTAACAAATTGTTTTTACACTTTTGAACACAAGAATACTAAAATGCACTGCATTCAAGTACAGTAAGAAAACCATTATGCCAAAAAATTAAGCATATACTGTACACAATATTTCATCCATGCATGCATTCGGATCCATCGCACACACACCCCACAACAAAACATTAAAATAAAGGCAATTGTTTAAAAAAATTAACAAAGTTTCAATTCTGAGTGCTTTCATTGATCTGGCATCCTCTATTGCCCTTATGCCAGAAAAAATGACGTTCTATATATCGTCCATGGTGCAGATGGAATATAATTCTAGGTCGTAATATTGTTATCTACTAAAAATATCATCACTCTGAAAATTTAAAGTTTAACTCCTGTTTTTACATTTTATTGCTTGTATAATTTTTACTTCACAGTTAACTGTATATTCAAAAGAAGTTTACATTGATTTTCTAATTACTTTTGTAAATTGAAGATTTTAAGGTAAACTTCTGTTTTATTTTGACTTTGCATGTAATGTTAAAATGAAGTTTCTACTTTGAAATTTTCATCTTACTTTATGTACGTTGTACTTAAATTCTGAAACGAAAATTTCTTGTTTTACAATAATTAACATTTATTAATTGGGTATTTTGTTACTTTTACCTAACTGAACTACTTTGGAAACCAGTACATTGTATCGAAAGTGTATTTCAGAATAAAGAAAGAATAAATAATATGTAAATAATTTTATTATGATCTGGCGTCCTCTATTGGACTCATGCCAGAAAGGATGACATATTATAACATCCATGGTGTGGATGTATTACTTGAATTCTAGGAACATCAATTCCAAGAAAATATTTAAACTTTAACCTCTAAAATCTTACATGAAATAAAATAAATTATAAAATTTAATATTTTATTTTTTTTGGAGTAATTTTGAGAAATATGCCCTGGATTTGGAGATAGTTGCACAGTCATGCCTATCAAAAATTGCAGAAATGAGTGATTGAATAATGAATGAATGAATAAAGAAATACATGAATGAACAATCAAATGAACAAGTGAGCAAACAACTGACTGTATCACAGAAAACATGCATTCATAAGAGAGATAGAAATAAATGAATAAATAAACAAAGAAACAAGCAAACAAATGAGAAGGTGAGCAAGCGAGCAAACGACTAAATGAACCAACCAACTTATTAATATAAATAAAAGAACGAACGAACAAATCAGGCTTAAGTGTGACTCTGTAATAGTTTCATTGGGTCAGATGTATCTAGATTGATTATAAATATCATTAATCAACACCAAAAACACAGTAATAAAAAAACAGACATCATCCATAAATCACAGATTTGGATTTATTTTATTGTCATTGCCATTTCAAAACAAGCAAACTCTGGACATTTACTTTATGAAGTTTGATATTGAGGTTGGTAGAGGTGCTTTCAAAACAGTGTACAAAGGTTTAGATTCAGACACTGGTGTAGCTGTGGCTTGGTGTGAAATGCAGGTTAGTTAAATATATTTTATATTTGACATTTCCAATACAATTACAGTAATTTTATTTAGTGAAACATATTAAGAAAAGACAAATTTTGAAAGTGTAAATGAAGGTATGAATGCATACTGGTGATCGAAGATTTAAAAATATCAGTGGCTATAATTACTGCAGCCGTAAGGGCTAATTTGTAATGTGCTTCTGCACACCATACAGTAGGGTTCAGTTCTACTGTTTAAATTATATTTAATACAGATGCTGTAAAACAACCACTATTTTTGTAAAGGAAACGGTGAAGACTACATCTTTCATGTACTGTAATAAATAGTTTTGAGACTGTCTCTTATACACATCTAGATGTGTATAAGAGACAGGTCTAGAGCTAGGTATCACTCCGCAAAATTGCTTGTCCAGACGACAGAGGGCCGAATCTGCGACACGACGATCGCGCTGCAAATTTCAACGTACGTTGGTAGAAATTTATTGTCTTGTTGAATATAGGGATACGTGAGCGGTTGTCAGGAACAAATAAGGAACACGAACAACCGCTCCCAAAGCGGGCAAAGGCGGTAACCGCCCTTTTGACTCCAGTATTTTGGAAAATTTCAGCTAAGTTGTATATAGGTTAATTTTATTGTGGAAAATCAAAGAATCGGAATAAGCTGTTGCCATTGTCAACCCGGAAGTGGAGGTAAGGTCTAGCCTAGATACACGACCTACCTAACCTAGGCTAGGCCTAGGCAAGCGTTAAACATTCATCATCTGGTGCTGTATACAATTATTGTTCAGTTCCTTTGCTCTTCGAATGTGTAAATTGGAGTTTCTGTGATACGGAGACGCAGGAAGGAAGGTTTAACATTGTGTTTGATACAATTTTCTGTGGATTTTTCTTCGTTGAAATATTTTGATATCTGTTTAAACATGTCTTGATTTTCGTTCTGTTTAAATATGGCAGTGGAGGTAGTTGGCTGCTTAGAGGTCAGCACGGTTCACCGTGTTGATAGTGGACTCCCACGTTGGCAGTCCACTTGCGCAAGAATCGTCCTCAACGTTTAGGATTTATTCAGTGACGACTCATATTTTGAGTCTTGTTTTCACGAACGTCACATAGGCCTAATACCAAGACATACTCGAATACCACCATGTTTAATAATATTAAAAATTCAGTTTATTGAATTATCAAATACTAGGCCTATAGGCTAGCAGATAGGCCTAGGGCCCAAGTTACTCTAGACTCTTGCTCTTCTTTTACAAGAGGCAGGGTTGTCATTTTGCCTTTATATTATTAAACAAAATTTATTCTGGAAGTTTGGTACCCAATAGACTTAGTCAAACAGATATAAATATAGTACAGTTATGAATAAAAATCCTATAAAACAGCAAGAAAGTAAAAGCATGTCGAATGGCATTGCTTCAGGAGAGGAAGGCGACATTATTGGGAGGGATCGGAAGGAAGTACCGGTAGTGAACCAGCTACCACGTTTGAATGGCAGTGGAAGTGCACATCATCATTTAAAACTAACTGAAAGTAATGGTGATTCAACGATGGTGCTAGAACACTCAATAGAAAGTGAATTGAAACGTGTCAAATCTTTAACAATGGTGACTAGTGCTCTTCGGAGTGAAAATGGAGCGAGGAAGAATAAATCAGTTATGATAAAAGAGCCTGAGGAGGTAATAGCTAAACGTCAACAAGAAAAGATAGAAAAAGAACAACAGCATTTGAAAGATGCAGAAGTTGAAAAACAGTCTGAGGTTAATTCACTTGAAGAAAGATCAGACAAAGAAAATGGGGAATCAGTGAAAGGATTTGAAAAATTTGTAGAAAGAACTGCATGTCAAATAGATGAAGATGGAACAATCAATTTAAATACTGAAAACAATGGGCAAGATGGGCAGGAGATTGTGAAGTGTGAAGCGGAAGAGGAGGAGGAGAAAGAAGAAAAAGCTGTCGGGGTTTCTCCTTGTGGACGCTTTATGAAGTTTGATATTGAGGTTGGTAGAGGTGCTTTCAAAACAGTGTACAAAGGTTTAGATTCAGACACTGGTGTAGCTGTGGCTTGGTGTGAAATGCAGGTTAGTTAAATATATTTTATATTTGACATTTCCAATACAATTACAGTAATTTTATTTAGTGAAACGTATTAAGAAAAGACAAATTTTGAAAGTGTAAATGAAGGTATGAATGCATACTGGTGATCGAAGATTTAAAAATATCAATGGCTATAATTACTGCAGCCGTAAGGGCTAATTTGTAATGTGCTTCTGCACACCCTACAGTAGGGTTCAGTTCTACTGTTTAAATTATATTTAATACAGATGCTGTAAAACAACCACTATTTTTGTAAAGGAAACGGTGAAGACTACATCTTTCATGTACTGTAATAAATAGTTTTGAGACATGATTGGAATTTTGGATGTGAAATGGGTGTGGACATCCTATACCCAGTAATAATAGAGGTTCACCATTTCTTATTAAGTTTTAATCAGCATATTACATTCATTTCCATTTTATATCATTCCCAGCTTTGGTCAGTTGGAAGTGGTCAGATACATTTATTATAGTCCAACCAAATAGACCACTACGAGAACTTCAACCCAAAGCCACATCCCTTTTGGAATAGAAAGACTTATATTTATACTGTACAAAACCACATCCCCTGCCTGTGGAAAAAGCCAAGACATTTGAACCTAAAAGTCATGTTGTAGAATATTTTTCTGATTTCAATTAATAATATTCACTACCATCAAAACAGTGTGTTAGTAATTTATTTATTATTGTATGATCTTGTGACTTGGCACAAGCTTCCATTTTGTTCCATAATTTCAGCAGCTTAAGGCATTCCACATGTTACATTGTTGGCATATTTGTGGATTGCCTTTGTTTCCAAATCATCAGTATACCCACATTTTTCTCCTCAGTACTTGTATCAAAAATACTTTTATGAACTCTTTTTTTTGTAGGGTTTGTTTTTTGCCTAAAAATATATCTTGGTAAATATGTGTTCAGTCATTTACCAAACCGTATTTTTCTTCCTACAGTATGTTAAAACAACCATGATAAATGTCAATATTGTAAACAACTAGTTACACATGCATAATAAGATTTAAGTTTATTGATGTTGGTCAGGTCATTTGAAGAATTCTGGTGACCTTATTTACCAATCTTATTCAAATGATCTTGAGTCCTAAACCTGGCATTTTTTGTCCACACTGCATCTTTTAAATTGTCATTTACTAAACTATCTATGCATCAATGTAGGAACGCAAATTATCAAAAGCAGATCGCCAACGATTTAAGGAAGAAGCTGAAATGCTGAAAGGACTGAGTCACCCGAACATTGTAAGCTTCTACGATTATTGGGAGGCAGTGTTTGAAACTTCTTCTGGTACGCGGCGCAAGCACATTGTCCTCGTCACGGAGCTAATGACATCTGGCACACTCAAAACGTATGTAGAATAATTTGTAAAAGTTCTTCAACTAATTCCCAATGCTTTAGTTTAGATTTAGAAGAAATTTGTTAATGGTATAATTGTAACCACAAAAATACAATCAGTTTACATTTTCTCATATGGATTCTGTTTAATGAATGAACATATGGTTAATTATAAACAAAGTTTTTTTAAAAATTCTAATTAGAAATACTAGGAATATGGGTTTTGTTTGAGCACTAAAAATATCCAGAAGACAATTAAGCTAGGCATATTCAATCAGATTTGTTTATTTAAGGTGGGCATACAGTAATTATTCTGTTATCAGATTTTCTGTTGGACAACTTTAGCTGGTCATATGTTATCAGATTTTTCTGATTGTCAGATTCAAGAGATGGCCATATTGATAACGTAATGCTTTATTCCATTTCAGCAGACATGTAAATTAGAATGGCAAAATATGTTTGATCAGATTTGACTTAAACTCTGGCCACCCTATCAGATTTTCTTTGAAAAAAAATCTGCTGTCTGTATGCCCATACTGTATATAGTCATGATGTTTCTATAGGCCTATTTGTTCATGATGTGATATGATCATGACCATATTTAGTTCTCACATGTTTTTGTCAAATAAAAATTTGATAGTCAGAACAGGGCTTTAAAAACATTTTCCTCAATCTTACCAATTGTATCTCAAAGAAAGTATCTGCAAAGAAAATCTGATTGTTTATGTCAAGATTGAAGCATGTTCAGCAAAATAAGCTTAATACTACATCCATTTAGATACAAAAGCAGTGATTACTGTAGTTGTCTTTTACTGTACTATCAACATACTAAGCATTGTGTAATATTAATTATTTCATAGATACTTGAGACGATTTAAGGTTCCAAAACCTAGAATGTTACGTGGATGGTGTAAACAAATCCTAAAAGGACTTCACTTCCTGCATACACGACAACCACCTATCATACATCGAGACTTGAAGTGTGACAACATTTTCATCACCGGAACCTCGGGCTCGGTAAAAATCGGTGACTTAGGCTTGGCCACTCTCAAGAAGAACTCTTTTGCAAAAAGTGTTATAGGTAAGATGCTATACTGATTTGTTATTGGATTTGATTTATTCAAAGACATTCAGTACTACTTTAACATGTTTTGTGTTTAGAATTTCCTATATCAGTTACAGGAACATCACCAAAATGGTTATTCTCCATCAAAATAAGAAGGTATGCAATTAGTCCACTAAATTAGTGGTGATTTTTTTTCCCCTCACCTGTAGATTTTAAAGAAATGCTTGGGGGCCAATAGAGTTTGCAAAGTAAATGAATTGTTTCAAATTCAGTAATTTTAATTACTGAATTTAATACAAATTAGCGATTCAAATTCACATTGTAAAGTTAAGTCTGCCATTATCACTTACAACCAAAACAATGTAGTAAAATTTTTACTATATAATTGTTTGTATATTTTTAACAATTTTGTTATTTATTTATTTATTTCAATATCCGTATTCTCGTAGTAGCCCGAGAGTATGGATTTTGCCTATGTCATGTGCGTAGTCTTGCTATTTTGTTTTCCAGCATTTAAACATGTTTTTTAGTCCCTGTCCAAGTTCATTGAGGTGAGTCAAAAAAGGAAGAACCAGGTAGGGATCAGGGTTAACTTCTTTAGAGCAGACAGCTGTACATTGTAGGTGTAGTCTCACAGCTTCAAAACTTACCACAAATAAAGTTGCAGTCCAGATGAGCTGTTTTTGGTTCTTTTACTGGCAATAAGTATTTGTATTTATGTTGTATGTAACCTTTGTATATTCTTGATGAAGGAAATAATTTTAAAATATTCTGTCACTGCCAATTTAATTCATCATTTGATATTTAATCTACTGTAATGCTGGTTAATACTTAACCATTTATAGAAAGATATGTGGACTGTAACTTTAATGATACATTGAATGATGCGGTGATGATTATCCCGTAAGTGTTCAATGATAAAGTTTCAAGTTGAGAGCTAGACCTGCATACGTTGACCACTTCCAATTTAGATCTGTGACAGAGACAGCCGACATCTTGCAAGACTCATCCAGTACTAACCCAGCTCTTTCCTTCTGGCTTCCTGCCATTTCTCTCCCCAGCACTCAAAAGAATCCCACCAATCTTTGTATTTAAGGTACCCCAGAGTTCATGGCTCCTGAGATGTACGAAGAACACTATGATGAGTCCGTGGATGTATACGCATATGGAATGTGCTTACTGGAGATGGCCACCTCTGAATATCCGTACTCTGAGTGTCAGAATGCCGCTCAAATTTATCGCCGCGTAACAACAGTAAGTATTATTATAATTATCTTAATTATGTTTTTTTTTCATTTCTTAAGCCTGCTGCATGCTGCGAGGCAACTCTGTCATGTTTGATCATTTCCGCATGAATTTCTGTAAGACACTAGTCCCCATGGGACACTTAGGAAAAAAAACGTGTTTGATATTTTCTATCACGCGAGGCCAAATCTGAATCGTTATAACACACTTGGAGAAACACCTCATATCTCAGCTTATGTAAACAATCGATTGACCAATTAAATTCCCCCGGTTTCTTTACATGAGTGGTCAGAATACCCATATTAATCACATAATTGCTGTCGTGAGAAACCATCTCGGCACATACTAACCATGTGTAGTGAAGCGTGCAATTAAGTTTCTAGCTAAGCTTACTTTCCCATGAGGTATGCAGCTAAACTTAATTGTCGCACATGGTACCGACTAGCAAAATTCATTTTAATACTTTTTTATTTATATAGTATATATTTGTACTGAAATTACTTTTTCTTCCACCTCAATAGGGCATCAAGCCAGCGAGCTTTGAGAAAGTAAAATATTCCCAGATTAAGGAAATTATAGAAGGATGCACAATGTCGGATCATACGGCAAGGTAAATAAAAAAATTAAAAAAAACCCTAAATACCACACATTCTATACAGATTATTGACATATAAAGCTCTGTCTACCTATCAAATTTCTGTTGTATCAAAAAACTGTTGTAGACCCATGATATATAGTAATGATGTGCCTATATATTATAGTCATGATGTGATGTCATCATGACCATTAGGAATGTCACATGTTTTATCAAATAGTGTGAACAGGGCTTTAGTCTTTCTATATGCTTTGTATGTAGTACAATCTAGGCATGAATTTACATGTTGCATCATACCCAATCACAGAATAGAGATCTCAGGATGTTTATATTTTCAACAGTCATGATTATGAATGTGGACTCACCTAAAATGGTGATGTGTACATGTGGGACTATGATGAAGTAAGCATGCATGACCAGGTTCAAGAACTGCAAATTAGTAGATTCTGATATTATTCCTTTGTAGACAAGCTTATTTTGTCCGTCGTCAACCTCTAGCTGCAAATATTATTAAAGCCGTTACACAGAAAAATACACTAATAAATCTGTTGCCATACTAAGAGAAGTAGAACATCCGTTCACATTGATACATTTATGCAACGATAAATTCAGTTTGTCGGTAGTTCCATGTTGTACGGTCATTCATCTGTAAAATACTCATGAATATTTGTAACAAGTATTTATTTTTGTCTTTCATCCAAAAGCTAGTAATAGAATTACACAATGGAATTGTTTGTTGCTTAGTAAACTACCATAAATTATTGTTATGAGCCCAATTTACATAAGATAAAATGTTACATTGGATGCATGTTAAATGTTACATCAGGAGTTTAGCCAGAAAAATGAAATAGGCTGTCCAAAATTGAAGACGAAGAACTTGTTGCATGGCAACAGTTGAGAGGCGTGACACTGAGAGGTGGTGTGTTTGTTAGGGGGTGACTCCCACCCCCCTTTCTATCTGAGGAAAAAAATAGAAAATTATACTCTAGGTCCTCCAAATTGAGATTTGTTGACTACAGTATTAAAATTTGTGATGTTAACAACAAATCTACTTTACGGTATTTTATGAATTAATTATAACCAGGGGTTACGAACAAGAACGATATCTCGGAACCGAATCTCAAGTACTGTATTTGCAAAAGCCAAGTGCGTGCTTTGTGGGCGACTTAGAACCGTCCATTTTCCAGCGGGGCTTGAATATGTTTATAACACGACATATGCGTGTTGTAAGTGAAATTTTCACCAGATAGACAGTGGTTTAGCCTTACCTTTTTGGGAATCCCCACCGAATATCGTTATGAAAACAGCGTAAATTCAATTAATAAAGGTTGTTTTATCAGACGTAAATACGATTAGCCTTTAGTTGTGATGGCAACATTCAATAGATTCTAAGAATATAAAGAATTTTTTAAAGGTAGACCAAGCTGAGTAGGCCAAGCTGTCCAAGACGTCACGGTAAAAGTGGCCCTTTTGTTACATAGACTTAGATGTTTATTCTGAGATACCATCTTCCTGGACCTTAAATTAAGTCTTTGCCAAAAGTCTGTATGATGTACTGTAGAAAGTGAATATACACGTAGTAGCACCTGAGTAAAAGAAAAACTGCTAGGGGTTGGAGCACTGATTTCTATTATAATAGCTGGATTGCCCATTGGCTGGTTTTAGTGAAGCCACCGATGCCATGTTGGGGGGGCCGAAGTGACGTATCAGTTTAGACAAGTTTCTTTTAGCATTTGTTTAAATTATTGTTAAAAATAACGATTTTTGCAAAATTTTTTAATAATAAATTTGAATTTCACATAATGATTATTTTATGCAGTTTAAGAAAGCACAAGCAAAGTTATTTTGCGTTGTTAGGGATCGACGTCACTATATCGACGTCACTTCGCTCACGCTTTTGAAAACTGCATAAACAGTCGCATCTAGTGGTTAGATGGTTTGGAAAAAATTCCTACGTTAATTATTGAAAAGTTTGCAAGAATCATTATTTTTTAACTGTAAACAGTGTAATTTAAACAAATGCCAAAAATTTTTTTTTCTAAACTGGTACATCCTCCATCATGGCGTCAGAATCTGTACCAAGATTGGCCAATGGGCAATCCTGCTATTATAGTAGATATCAGTGGGTTGGAGGGGTGTCCAATCATGAGAATAATTCTACAGTATATGTTTTATATATGTATATGTTTTTGATTACTGGAATGACTTGACACTACTCCCAATATTTTTTATTATTCTAGATCTCAACAGCAAATTGTTCCATAATTTTGCAATATAGTAAATTGCTACAGAAAACCAACTGTTGATACCATATATTTTAGATGGAAAAGTCATATGATGATAGCAGTATACATTTCCTACATATATACATAAGCTATTGGACAATTTTAAGAATGACCTATAGAGTTCAAGTAAAATCACCTGTTCCAAAAGTACTAAAATTAAACGTACAATGCAAACAATGCTATAGCATGTACAAATTCTAAAATACAGATAACTGTAATGACGCTTCACTGTGTACAGTATGCACTCGAAGCTGCCTCGGAAATTATTCATATCGTTGACATTTATGTGAATATATAAGACAGTATAATTCATTTAATAAATAATGATGGTAATAATGAGTAACTTATTTCTAAAGCAGAACTTGTTGATATATTTAATCTATAAATCAACTGTATATTTAACTTGTGTGTTATTTATTATTTTCTGGCAAATATGATGTTGAAAGTACGATTGCCTTGATAACAATGCCATTGCTCATCTTGTTGTGTATGGTACATGTTGGATTAAACTAATATATAGCAGAGTGACCCTCTAGCTTTATGGCCCAGTTACTCACCTTTGAATCGCAGACCCTAGGCTCAAGTTCACAAATTGGGCAGAATCAGGATTTGTTCCAAAACCTTCATTAAAAAAAGTAATTCTTGTTTAGTTGAACATGTGCCATATGATTAACGGTTTGACCTCCAACTGGATAGTTATAAATTCGAGTCTAATGCTCATGAGGTTGGTTTTGTCTGTAGGCTCGACACTTTACTGTACGTCTTTCCACCCCACATCTCTCTCTCTTCATCCATGTGCCTCTACACCCACGTGTTTGTCTCTTCACCCACATGTCTGTGCCCTCACCCATGGGATTATATTGTAATTATCGTTTAGTTTTTGATGCCAAGAGATGTTTTTATGAAAAAGTCATAAATCTTAAAATCAAATTTGTTTCTTGCTAAAATACTATACTTCAATATAACTATAGAAAACTCGCAGAAAACAGAAGAGGTTCATTCTGCATGATTCATTGTGCTAGCTATACAAGAAAAAAAAAACCAATTCAGATTTAGTCTATAGATTACCTTTTAGTTCTTATGCTGCACTGTTGGATGAGAACGAAAATGAAAGAAATCTTATTAAGTTGCAGATTACCTGGACAAATGAAAAATCAATTTTCTTTTCCTATAAAGATTGTCATTACCTTGCCGCCATGTTGGCTATCTATATGAATGTATGGGTCTGCGTGAACAGCGGTATTTCAAAATTAATGCCGAGCCAGTAGTAATGTTAATTCCGGCTTCAATCAATTACTCAGTTAAACACAACAATGAATGGCTGTCACATATTACACAATGATTTCCTACAGTCTATTGTTTAATAACATTTATTTTCCCTTGCGTAAATGCGTACTTCTCAAAGCATCAAACATTTTAAAGAGTTTGAAACATTGAGAATTCCGAAATCTTGAATTGGAACAATAATTAAGTATGCAGCTCATGCATTTGATGTCTCGTGGCCGATATTCTTAATTTCTAACATCGATCCAGGCAGTTGTGAAAGTACAATTTCAATTGGCTTTTGATGGATATTGCAAAGTTGGTTATATCAGATTGCTATGTTCTGTGCTAGGCTTGTGTCGGGCATACTCACTCACTGATAGGTGTCATTCAATTATGTTGTGTGTGCTACGATTAATCGAAGGTCTGTGTCTGTTTCCAGTGGAAATATCTGACTGAAAGAAATCAATATTTCTGATGAAGGTGTTTTTTTATTACAAATAACAAATAATTAGAATAGCATTGGAATGTATTAGATATTTATGTTCCTGCTTTGTTCAATTGCAGAATTGCAATTCTCCTATTTTTTTTTTTATAAGATCTCAAGTTAAAATGCTGTAAAGTTGGGTTAATATTAGAGTGTTTGCTGAAATCTCAAAGCTGATTTTTACCTTAATTGAAATCTTCTAATTTGTAGTGAAAATACAACCCAGTTGTATGACAGAAGGTGTCTAAGGGTTGTTGTATCTGTAATAATAGGGAACTGTTAGTTGCATCTTGCGGTGTGATGTAGTAATGACATCACTAAAAAGTCATCTACCGCATGCAAAAACGTTGAAGTTCTCATCGCATGGATTCTTCAGTAGGACACAATTTTACTAAATCTAAGCTGTTTTAAGAGAAGGTAAGACGGTCAAACATGAGTGAATCCGTTCTAACGATGGTCGTTGTGCAAAATGAAAGCTTCCTAATATCGTGTGCATCTCTGGTCTACTGTAGCTGTTTACTGTACATGTTACTCGATTTCACATAGAGATTGCTGGCACTATAAATAGGTTTAAAGTTTTTGTGTTATTCTTGTGTTTCCTGGAATTGCATAGTAGGTCTATATTGTTGAATTTTAAATAAACAAAATAAATATATAAAAAAAAAAAACGAGAAGTAGCTATTTTTGTGCTGCCTATCATATGCAAGAAGATTGGTGAATTTGGCACTGTTCCAACAAAACAGCTAGGCTAGTGTAGGCTATGTAGCTCCCAAATGAATTACTGGACCACTGTACAGTGACTGCTTCGAAGTCTAAGACCACAGTGATTGTAAAAAATAAGATCATCAAAATTAAGAAAGATAATTTTAAAGATGTGATCTTAACCCCTCATTTGCTTTTAGATAAAATTCATTATTCAAACTTTTTGTGTAATCATGTGAAATTGTGTCATTGTTTTGTATCATTGATCTTTCATTTCT